ACTACCACATTCATCCCAGCCTAATCTTCTCGTAATCCCTCTCTTCGAAGGGAAACACAAAGGTCAACGGATAGTGTTGAAGGTACCAGACTATGACTTCTGGCTTCGATCGATAACTCCTCATTTTCTTGTAACTTGACTTTCATTACTTCACTGAACTCCTTTCAGATGCCAGTGTCGGCGTCGTTCTCCTCGTTTTCCACGCCGAAGCATCGAATCCACTCGAGGGGTAGTCTATCCTGTGTGGATTCAATACGAGAACATAGCGAGTGCCTAGGTCAACTTTATTATCTTATATGGGACAGTAAGGCCGAACGTAAGCGTTCTGCGACTGCCTTGGTATTCTTTTCTTCTTGGGAAAATCTGATATAGCTACTTTCAGATCACGGCCCCAATGATGTCTGCCCAATCACCGCTGAGGCGTGGACGGTACTATCAGCGTTTCTTGTGAATCAGGTATGTCGTGGGAACACTTGCTGTAGTCATATCCATCTGTAGGGCGCGAGTCAGTACTGCATGTCGCGCACCGCACGCCGCTCACTGAGCGCTATCTCATTTGGCGAAGATGCTGCCGGGTACCCTGACAGGAGGCCCGTCGCGCGGCAAGAAGGCAAGTCAGCGGACGAGTCGCAGCGCGTACTGTAGGGATTTCGCGTCAAGTTAAATAGAATGTCCCATTGCACGTCCTACATCGCACATCACGCGCTGCAACTCGTCCGCTGACTCTGCCTTCTTGCCGCGACGGGCCTCCTGTCGGGTACCCGTTGCTGCGCAATTTCGCAACAACTAATCGCAGCACAATTTCGTCGCGCGCGGCGTAGCAACCCGCCTCACATTTTAGTGATGCACATCCTAAGTTTACGGTGTTTTGACATAGCAGACATTTTTTAGATCAAGTACGGTTATGAAATGGAGCGAGTTATAAGGACGGAATTGTCGAAATTGGGTCTGGACGGTTCCGGCGGCATGAAACGAGGTGCCCTCGCATTGCAGAGACCAACACAATTTGCGTAGATCACTCAATAAACTTTAATTAATCACTTATTCTGAAAATGTATATTGAATGAAAACGAAGCTCTTCCCTCACATGGAAGCCACAAAGAAGCCTTTGAGACACGACGTACTTTAAAGGGGAAATGTGCACGAAGGAGTGGGAGGCAGCGGCGCGAGCGGCGCGACTATGGACCAGCTAGGCCGCTGGGGCATGGTGGAAGGCAGGCAAGCCCCGGAGACCTACCGGAAATATGCCTACCTGCCTTTCCACAAGGCATGTTTCCGCTTCTTCGACCTCAGATTTTATCGCGAAATCCTCCTTAATGAGCGTGTACATAATGAAGTTCAAATCAATAAAACAGCGGCTGCTATATGTTCAGAGCCTTAAAAAGCAAAAGAGACTGCCAAGAATAATCTGCATAAATCTATCCGCTCTGCGTATCTGTTAGTAGATTGAGTGGACTGGCGCTGTGGAACCTGCGGAGGTCTAAGTACGATCGACTCTCCGAAACGTTGAGTTTCTTCCGTAACACTGTGCAACGAAAAATTAAAGGAATCTTCCACGGACCATGGACCAGTGGGCGGGACCGGAAGTGGTTTTGCGACGAAATGCATGGTAGGTACGGATCCACGTTCATGGGAAGGTTTGAAGTGAATCCTGTTCACGTTCGTGCGTTCGACACGTGGATCCGTACCTACCATGCATTTCGTCACAAAAACTTCCGGTCCCGCCCACTGGTCCATGGTCCGTGGAAGATTCCTTTAAAGTCCTTCATTAGGTTTGTTTTAAAGGCTGATCTATAGCGTTGTATGAAATACGACGCAGACGAAAATGAAAAGGATTAACTCTGACGACGAGGGGACGAAGGAGGGTAGGGATGACAGAGACGCAGACATGGGTGGAGTTTCTCAGGCAAGGTTTGCCTGTTAGCGCTTGTGGCTTGAAGTCTTCAATGAGCATTTGAGGTATCTTCGCTCAAGTTGCCCTTATGTCGTCTCCTCTGGCACCTATATAGACGCTTCTCAGTTTACCACAACACTTTTAAATGGAAGACGAAACGTTCTTGTGTCGTCAGCAATCCCATTAGTGCTGTGGCTGGTAGTGCAAGGCAACCACCTCACATGCTCAGTGTCACCTATTGTCGGCTTCTCAGCAGGAACCCGACAGAGGCCCGTCGCGCGGCGAGAAGGCAGGGACGAAGACGGGTCAGAGGTCAGTGGACGAGTCGCAGCGCGTGCCTTATAGTGTGGGACGTATTGCAGCACACTCTGTTTAACTTGACGCGAAATCACTACAGTACGCGCTGCGAACTCGTATGCTTCTCTGCGCACTCTCATCACGTCGGGCCCCTTACCCTTCTCAACAATTGGTACTTTTGAAGACATCAATTTTAGAACTTCTCTGCGCGACGCA